TATGAAGCGGGTCACTTGATTGATGATGAGATCAGGCTCGCTGGTGCAGAAGTACACAGGCGTTACCGCTGGTTATGAAGCGGGTCACCTGGTTGATGACGAGATCAAGCTTGCCGCTGCAGAAGCACACAGGCATTACCGCTGGTTGTGAAGCGGGTCACTCCGCAGGTGATGAGATCACTCCACTGCATTCGAGTCCGAGTACAGAGAAGTCTCTCGAGGCACCATTTCATAATTTCTGCATGTACTATTAGTATTAATTTCAAACAAAAAAAAAAAGAGACCTCTCATTAGACGCTCCTGGTCACGTGCGTTGCCGGATGCATTTGCACTGAGTGAATGGAAAATGAAAGTGCTCAATTCACCAGCCTACCCTCACTAGTAAAGACGGCTCATTCTGAACATCTCAGCGGCAAAGGGGTACATTTCCAATTATTAGACCGAGCATTCATGGGGGCATAGTGAAACGGTAACGGTCAGTTGAGCACAATGGCAGTTGTTGTTGTCCACTGAAGAGAGAGCTGTTCGTTATGACGGCAAGCGTTGATGTATGTTGGATCGAATTGAAGCGGAATACACTAAATTGGTAATAATTTCGCTCTTGAATCTGCCGTGCACTGAAAAGGGCTCTTGAAACGGAATATTTTGGGGTAAGGATTATTTTATTTTCTAAATTTGCAGCACAGTGGAAAAGAGCTTTCGAACTCGCTTGGCGGAAAGGTAGTGACAGGCAAACATACGCACATCTCCCTACCGACCGCTGAGGACCTCTGATGTGGGCACAGCGAGTGACAGGCGCTGTTGCCCTTGGCCTCAGCGAACGGTAGGCGCCTCTCCCCGGATTTCCCCACAACAATTTGGCGCCGTTGCTGGGGAGGGGATTGCACCCCCAAGGCCGTGGCCTTCCCCAATCAACGGGGGAGGCACGGGCTGATGAGTTCAAGCACTAATTAGCTCATTTCCTTGATTAGTTTAATTTTTTGATATTTTTTGAATTAGTTTTTTTTCGATATCTCCCGATCCGCGCGTTTTTGCGCGAGGCGCACCGGAGCGAAGCTCTTCCTCTCGTCGAGGCGAACGTTTTGATACGTTTTTGGAAAAATTCTAACGGCTAGAAAAAGAGATATGGAATTTTTTGTATTTTTCGAATTAAAAATCCCAAAAATCACGAGTTTAAATTTCTAATTCTTTTTTTTTTAATATCTCCCGATCCGCGCGTTTTTGCGCAAGGCGCACAGGGACCAAAGTTCGACCTCTCGTCGAGGGGAACGTTTTGAGACATTTTTTGAAAAATTTTAATGGCTAGAAAAGGAGATATGAATTTTTTTGTATTTTTTTAATTAAAATTCCGAAAATCATGAATTTTCTTTTATTTTAATTACAAAGAAAGGGAGCGAAATTAGGTGAACCCCGCCTGGACCAGAGTTGGTCCTTGTATTTTTCCCGACATTTTGAGACCTTAATCGGGGAAAACGGACCCCGTTAGAACGAGTAGTGACCGCCAACAGACACGAAAAGAGGGGGAAAAAAAAAAGGAATTAGTGATTTTCTTTGTATTAAAAAAAAAAAAAAAAAAAAAAAAAAAAAAAGTTCGGCAAAAGTGATCTGTTGGAGCCCGACTTTTAACTGACTACAAACCGACGGAAAATTTTCTTCCTCGAGAAGTTGGACGTGGTGGCGTGCGGTGGCGCGCAAAACCCTAAAACCCTAATTGGGGGGAACTCTAATTAGGGTAAAACCCTAACCCTAAGTTAGGGAAGGGCGGTGCGTAGCCGGGCGGATACAAGTCTTTCTATCCGACCGGTGATGAGAAAATTTTGTATAAATCCAGTTGACCAAATTGAAATTAATCAATGTTGGGAATTTTGTTTTATTAAATAATTTAAGTTGTCAATTTGTTTTAAGTAATAATTTGTCATTTAAAATCAATTAAAAATCAAAATAATTATCTAAAATTCTACAAGAAAAGGGAGTCGACTTTATTTCGACTTTGTGATTCGGGAGATACTTCGCTTAACCCCATCCCAACGGGGGGGCGCCAAGTGCTGCCGAAATTACTCGACAATTTGCTGAATTTTATTCAATTAAATCTTAAATAATTAAAAAAAATACTTGAAAATTAGCTAAAAATTGAGATACTTAATCTTTCTTGTTAAACATTTTTCGTCTGCATTTTTGAGGACTTCGGCCAAACCCTACCCCAACGGGGGGGAGCCAAAATGCAGCCGAAACTTCGCAAAATTTCCTAATTTAAATTATTAATTCTTTTTTATATATATATATATATTGAAAGCGATTAGGGAAATTAATTAAAAATACGTTAGAAATTTGTTTCTTTCAGCGGTCTTCCTCCTGTTTCATTTGGCTTAGTTCTGGGTAGGCATTTGTTTAGGGACAATAGTCCCGAACCCCATCCCAACGGGGGGAGGCGAAACTCTGCCGAAATTTTAGTAAAATCCCGAAATTTTATTTCTACCCCTAAAAAGCATCAAACTCGGCGGGCTTATATAAGTATTGATCCTTAAAATATATAAACTAAGAAAGAAATTTTATCTTAACTAAATACATTTTCTTTAATTTATAATTGGAAAATGCAAAAGAATTCCCTAGAAGGAGAAGGGAAAGAGACGTTGCGGTAACCTGGTTTCAGGTGAACCTACTAGCTTGTCCTCGAAGGCGTGAGGCAAGCGACGCGAAATTTCAATTATTAATCTACACCTTTCGCTTGCTGCGTTCTCTCTAGCCGCCAGTTGGATGTGGCCGCGGGTGCAAGTAGAGGTCTATGGGGCTACCCTTGACTGGGACTTGGAGCCCCCTGAACTCATAGAGGGGGATCTGGTCGAGCTCACGATCCCCGGACGCAGCATTCGACACGCTAACGGCCAGTTTGCATGGAGGTCCATAATCCTGTCCGAGGACGTGTGTCTTTGGACGTACAGAGAGCACCGGCCGGGGCAAGGAGTGGGCGTAGTGAGAGCCTACTTGTATTTGGGACCGGGTGCGGTCAGGGAGGCCGTAGTGGGCCTCGCGACGACAGGGACTAGTGACGCAGTTAGCAGGGCGTTACGCTACCTAGGGGAAGAGGTAGCTGCTTTCCGAGCGGAGGACACGAGCGACCCGTTGACCCTATTTCACGGACGCCCTCCTCTTGATATCACGGGCGAGCTCATGGTAGCACGGGATGGGTTTTTCCCGTACAGCGTTAGGAGCCTGCGGGCAATAGTTCCGACGTTCGTAGTAGAGAGCGTCTTTGGAGGTATTGGTGGAGTGGTCGAGACATACCTGGCCTATCAGGATCTCAAGATCCTGGCGAGAAGGCCTGCCGACCTAGACTACATCTATTATTCGCTTGCGACCGATGGGCCTCGTTGGGGAGACAAGAGGGTTCAGCTTATAGAGCTGATCCGCTCAATAGACGACGAGTGGCCCCAGCCTTCGTGCGTTTGGGATTGGCTAGACCGTGAGCTCCGAGCAGGCCCCTAGTACGTGACTTGCATCGGGCGGCTCTTCTCAGACAACTGGGGGAGCTGGTGGTGTGAGGACGTCGGGCGACCTCTGATATACGGTCATCTGTTGACGGAATACTACCAGGCCATAGGACAGGCGCCATACCGCGTCGAGGACGAGTTTGACGATGAGGGTTGGGAGCGAGAGGACGACGAGGAGCTGTGGGAACCAGACTGGGTCGACCCAGAGAGTGAGGTTGACGAGGAGGACATTGACGTTATAGACGCCCATTTTCCCAGGATAGGAGTAGCGGTCCGGGCGTAGGAGGTAGAGGAGCGCACCAGGGCGACAGATGAGTGAGCCTGGCTACTGAACCCATTCGACCATACCGGACCTGAGTGCGGGAGTTGTCAGAAGGGTCAGCAACGTCGAGAGATGGGGTGTATCAGAGAGAGTAGAGGGATGCTGACCGAGAGTAGGGGGAAAGATGAGGAGTGATTCAGTGGCCTGATTAGCTTATGTTCTCTCACGAGAGTCCGAATCGTATAGTGGGAGGAAGCTTGTGGGACCCAGAGAGACGGCGGTTGGATACGACATAGCACTTCCTGTGSCGTTAGAAGAGGCAGGGCGAGTACCGATACGATACTTGGGAACGTGGCTCGCAGAGGGGCTCTTCCTATGGACAGTGATACTACGAGACGAACGACCCGAGAGGACTCATGATCTAGAAGGGGTCGGACATCTAATAGCGGATAGAACACACGATTTAGAGATAGGGCTAACGCTCGCAGGGGCGAGCAGGAGTTGGTGGAGAAGCGAGTTGTTAGGCAGGGTGATCGTTAATCAGCAATTGGCGAGACTCGCTGGAGGGAGGACAAGTAGGAGCTGCTTGATATACGGTCCACCACATCCGACCCTCTACCCGAGAAAGAATTGGCGGTTCGGAGTTCCTACCTTCGTGATAGGGCAGACCTATGGGAGCGTGGATCGTTTGAGGCGAGCAGTTGATCACACACTTTACGCGTTCTGGGAGGGTTTAGCGCCCCGCTTCAAGGAAGTATACTACGCCATTTGTGTGAGGTGGGGGCCGCCCAGTAGAGAGACGCTTGACGACATCATAGATGTTATGAGCTGGGTGGACTGTCTGAGGCCTATTGATCTGATTAGGTACTGCAGGAGACGGGCAGAGATCGATTACGCGGGGCTAGAGGACGCGAGATTTCTCTTCGAGGTCGCGGCCTAGGGAATGCCGGGAAGGACGGCCACGGTGATGCGTGTAGAAGAGCAACTGGTAAGTACAGGATACACTGTGACAGTACTTCTCCGAGCGTACGTAGACGAGGACTTGACGTTGAGTGAGTGTAGACAACGAGCTAGGGATTTGATCTACGAGCGTAGAGCTGATGTACTGGCGCGAGTGACCTTCCAGACCTCGATTTCCTATGATGTGATGATATGGTCTCATGGTTATATGCGCGCGGAGCACTACCACGATGAGACGGTAGCGGAGGCTAGAGCGAGGGTGAGAGGGTGAGCTGGAGGAAGATGTGAACTGGGTATGGAAGAGGAGAGTGAGGTAGTCGGAAGAGTGAGAAAGCGCGTTAAAGAACCACTCTTGAACTAGGTAAAGAAGTTGGGGAACAAGTTAAGGGAGAACTTGTCGTGTCAAGATGAGGGCAAGTTGCGAAGGGCTGAACTCGTGAAGAGAGAGTTAGAGAGTCTGTTTAGGGAGGAGAAAGAGATTATCCAGGCGTGGAGATCAGACTTTTTGGAGAAGGTAAAGGCTAGAAGCGTATCACGCAGAGAAACTAGTAAGCGATCTGCAGAAAGCGAGACAACGGAAGACAAAGTTGCGCAGGGGAGTAGCGACGGGACATGAGCGGGACTGCACTACACACGACGGATTGGTACTCATTACATGTGGTAGGGAGACTGGATGGACCATTAGTGTTAGTGATCATAAAACTCCAGCTCCATACCAGACTGTGCATAGTTGAGGAGACAGAGTGTTTCCGCCGTGCCCTGCGTGAGGCAAGGGGGACAGGGCTTTGGATTGGAATAGAAGGAGGACGGAGAATAAAATACGTGCTCCGAGTAACACCCTTCGAAGGGCGGTCTCGGATAAGGGCATGGTACGAGACGACCAGAGAGGCTGAGAGGTTGAAGATAAGCGAAGCCAGGAAAGCAGGAGAGTTAGGGAGAGTAGTAACAGATGGGGCAATACTCAGGGTGTTAGCCGCTCACAACCGGTACTGGAAGGAAACGATAAAGACTTTAGACGCGATAGACGAAGGAGGAGATAATGAGGACTTTGAGACATTTTATGAGATATTCGAGCGGTCGGCGATGAGGTTACAAGTCGTTATAGCACTAACTTACCTCAGCTATTAGACAGATGACCTCGTAACTGTTGCGGAGATAAGGTAGTGTAAATAGAAATTGGGAGCTCTTGGAAGGATAGAGGAAGCTAGAAAGGTCGATGGGCGACATTGGGCGACAGTTTGAGGAGCGTTGATCAGGAGACGTTGGCTAGGTTTGGGATTGCGATCTGTCTCAAGGATAGGGGTCCTGTCAAGGGCGTACTGTGGATCCGGACAGGCACGACCTTGCTGACCGATCCCGAAGGAGAGGTTACTTAGACACGGGGATTCTTGGGATAGAGAGAGGACACGAGATCTGCGACCGGAACGGGATACTGGAGGTGGTAATCAAGGCAGTCGAGGGCTAAGATTGGAGGCGGACGTGAGTCGTGACAAAGAAACAGGTCCGGGCTGCCGCGACTGTCACGGGTCCGGGCTCCAGTGACTGTCATAGGGTCGGGCTAAAACAGTTGGCTAGAATACCTAACTGCATCTTCTGGAGATCCAATGGAACCCGACACGATGGGGCCACAACCGACTACGAGCGAAGCGGGAGAAGAGTACAGGGCATCGCCCGATCGAGCACTGAGGGATCTGAAGGAACGAATTAGGCAAGAAGCACCGCTGAGATGGGCTGACCAAACCAATGACGGAGGGCCCGACATGAGAGGCGAGTCAGTTGCGACAGAGCCGCAAGAGGCTCAAAAGACGGGTACCTCGAGCGGACGACGAGGAGCGACGAGGCAGCGCTCCCCCGAGTACGAGCGGAGGGACTCCATAGCGGACAGGAACAGAGACGACTGGAGAGAGAATTTGAGGGATTCCTATTGGAGGGACAGAGATAGAGACAGGGCGTCGCCCAGGCGAGTCTTCGACCCCCAGACAAGGGAGTCATATCCGCTCCCTTACGAGAGCAAGGACCGCTATATTATTACGCACGAGGTCTCAGAGCCTCCTACCTTCAGGGGTTATGGTATCTCTGAATATCTAGAGAAGTGAGAGCTTCACGCCAGCCGGAGTCAGTGGTCGGAGGAAGAAATTGTAGAGAACTTCCTATTTAATGTGGACCCAAGTCTCGGTAGGGAAGTTAAGGAAGCTCGACCGAAGGATGGGAAATGGACTACGTACAAGAAGAATCTCGTTAAACTTTACAAATTGGAGGATAACAAGTATTCCATCAAGAACCTTGAAACAATGACTCAATATGAAGATGAGAGCGTACGGGCATTTGGGATGCGTTTCCAGAAGATCTCCGATGTGCTGATGAAAAAGGGGAAGATCTCAGAGGTCGAGCGCTGTACTATCTTCATCGGACACTTGTCCAAAGGTAGGCAAAAGAGTATACTTAGAGATCTTCCGCGCGACAGGCTTGATTTCCCAGAAGTCCTAAAGCTCGCGATAAAGACAGAGGCAGACGATTACAAGGACTTGGTGTGGAGAGGGATGAGGAGACGTGACTTCTCTCTCTACAAGGAGTATGTCACTGATAGATGTCCTGATTTCAAGGACTACCCCTGGTCGGAGAAGAATGAGGCCGTGGCTGAGGAAGTGAAGGAGATACGGGACATGGTGAAGGGATTAACGAGACAGGTTACAGAGATTGTGACCGTCACATGGGTCACGGCCTACCGGGACAACCCTGGAGGGCCCTATTCACTCCGCTGGGACCGTAGGAACAACGATCCCTGGAGGAGTGTCGAGGATAGAAATCCTCGGACGCTGATTGACTATCGAATGAGGGGAAGAGAGAGAGACGATGAGCCATGGCGACGTAGGGACGATGAGATAGACCGAGACCACAGAGATCGCGAGCCGTTTGTGCGAGCAAGGAGGCTGGATGATTACCCGCGAAGCCCTCGCTGTGAGGCCGATCGGGGTAGACGTGACTCCCGCGGCCGATGGGAGACAGAACAGAGCCGACGAGATGGATAAAGGGACGACAAATATGAGAGATCGGATCGAGATGGATATAGGGACGACAGATACGAGAGACCGAGTCGGGACGGCTATAGAGGAAGTAGATATGAGAGAGGAGATCGGGACTGGGAACGACAAGATGGGTCGCGCGGACGGTTTGAGCACGGGGGAGATGCGAGAGAGCAGCACGACGAGTCGCGGGGGTGGTACAACCGAGGGGACCGACGCGATGAGTCACGAGGACGATATAACTCGGGGGACCGCCGGGATGATTCGCGAGGGCGGTATGAGCAATGAGGGTTTGAAGGAGACCGGCGCAACGATCCGCGCGGTCGGAATGAGAGAGGGGGATATTGCGTCTCATCAGAACCATATCCCAAGTCGCCTGACCCCAAGGCGGGCAGGAATTCGATGTCTAGAGGCGCAGACGATAGGGCGTCTACTCCCAGGAACTCATGCGTCTACTGTAGAGGAGAATATCATATCAAGAGGGATTGCTCGGACCTCAAACGGGCAATAGAAGAGGGACTTGTCGTGCTTGACGACTGCAAGTACGTCAAGTGGGCAGATGATCTCGGAGATGTATCGATGTTCCCTTCGATGAAGGAGAATGTCGAAGCAAGGAGAATTAAGACGAGTAAAGGAATGGAGCCGGTCAGAAGCCAGAGCATCAAGATAACCTTTGAGGGAGATATGACGACCACACCCATAAGGGTGGCGGCCACCAAGTCGGCGAGAGGGTCTACATCAAAGAAAACTGACACGGATTACGTGATGGCGGAGAAGGACGGGCAGCGGGTCGATGGAGAGGAGGTTATCCTTTCACCGCGAGAAGTTCTTAATGAAGAGTTCGCTGGACGAGATTGACACGGTCGAGCCACTGAGGCGGGCCCTTCGGCAACCCATGCAGTGCTCTATTCTGGAGTACCTGGCGGCATCGACACCAGCTCGTGACGAGTTACAAATGATCACGCGGAAGACTCGCATACCTCTTTCGGAGGAGGGTCAGGGGGGCCCTAAGGCGGAAGCTTCTATAGTAGTAGTAACGGGGGTGACCGCCAGAGCGGATCGCATGGCGACGGTCCTTCTTGATGGAATGGAAGGTGTGCCTCCAGACAAGTTTTATATACTTGGTAGCGGGGCCGTGRAGACGATTATAAACGATGGAGCGGTACTCGATGCTGTGATTGATAACGGCAGTGAGGCTGTCATCATAGACGAGGACCTGGCGGTACAAGTTGGACTGGGCCTCGATAGGTCATACCTATTCGAGATAGAGACGGCTGATGGGAGAAAGCAACAGATCACTGGCGTTTGTCACAAGGCAGCCATAGAGGTCCAAGGGGTACGAGTGACCCTGCCTATCTTTGCAGTCAAGAACTGTAGCTCCGACCTGCTCTTGGGTCGAACGTGGTTGAGCCACGTGCATGCGGTGATGATAGAGCGACCTGATGGGAGCCAAACATTGTCCATTAAGAAGCCAGACGGGACACGAGTAATGATTGAGACAGTGGAGCCTCGGGACCCGAGGAACAGAGCAGCTCTCGCTGTGGGTGCGAGACGCAGTGAGCAGATTAAGTCGTTGCCTATCTCCAGCCGCGCGGTGCGATTTCGCGAGAAGAAATATGGACCACTGCTCACAGAGGAAGAAGGTCGGATGGTGGAGATCGAAGACTTAGGGAGTCGGCTAATAGTGGATGGCAACTCGTACCCAAAGGAAAAAGATGAGGAATTTGGCGGTGTGATATCTGTGTCTTTTTTAAGGGCACGGCCCCCTATGGGGGGCTACCCAAGCGACACAAACGAGTAGCGCAAAAAGTTAAGCCAGCGGCGGTGGGCCGCGAGCGATCTGCACTAGAAGGGATATCGGAAGAAGAGATCGCAAAAGAAATCAAAGAAAGAAAGAAAAACGAGCCGCAACGCSTAACGGAAGAGAGGATAGCAGGGATGGACATCGGAGATGGRAATTTGACCCCACAGGAGCGAGAACGTGTGATAGAAATCCTGAAGACATGTGATAAGGCCATAGCTTTCAGCGACGCGGAGCGCAGTAGGATTGACCCTCGATACGCTAAGCCAGCGAGGATTTATACGATTCCAGATGTTCCTTGGAATGACGCGGGATGGAAATATGCCCAGAAGGAGAAGGAAAAAGTTATCGCTTTCCTGAAAGAAAAGATGATTTCCCACGTTGCGGAGCCGTCTGATAGCGCTTATGGTAATCGATGGTTCTTCCTACGGAAGCCGAATGGCAAGATCCGATGGATCCAGGACCGTCAGAAGGTCAACGCGGTGACGATACGAGACGTGGGCTCCGTGCCACACGCCGATTTACTGGCAGAAGGCGCAGCAGGTAGGTCGATCTATTCTGTGATCTGTTCTCAGGCTATGATGAGGTACCGCTTGACCCTAGGGACAGACACCTCACGGCTATGCATACG